AGGGTCGTGGGAGCCAGCTTTATTTTTGGGTTTTTGGGTTTTGATTTGTTGCAGATAATGTTTACTGCTTGGTTACATTTGGGACTAATAAGATTTCTCTTGTAGAGCGTTTTAACTTTTATCAAAGTGCTTTCACAAGCATATGGTTTCCTTCACAATAAACCCGACAGGTTTGAACCAGGATATAATTATCCCATTTGGCAGATGTGGAAAATGAGGCTCACAAGTATTATCCAACCTTAAGGTCACTTGTTTTCTGTTCTTGCTTTTTTGACGATGCATGCTTCCAGTGCTTGACTCCATATTTATCTCCAGATTTAGAAAGCATACAGTAGTTTTACAGCAGCTGTTGTTATCTTTAGGGATTGCCAACATTTTGTTGCTTTTTACCTCCCAGATCATAAGCATAACTTTTGCTCAGTATTGAAAGGAAAAAGAATCATCGTGACTTTTCAAATTAAACTACTTTCCTGTCACATTTTATGGGTCAGTTTTGGAAGTGGTAGATAGTACTTTGGTCTGCCTTGCTGTATTTAAAACTCAGCTCACTTCACCTCATAGCGTTTGCTTTTGAGGTCACCTGTAGTAAACCACATACAAGCCCAGACAAGGAGAGTGCCGAGTTAGAGCAGGTTAAGCAAGAATGGCTGGAATTGTTGGTTGTGGCCCTAGAACTCGCTGTACCCCTGGCTGGCTGATTTTCTAGTTCTCCTCTCACCTGGAGAGAGCTGCTTCTGTTTTAAGAAACTTGCTCATGGCTCTTCTTCCTGTTACAGTTCCTTCCTATTTCTGTCCAGACAGTATTCATTTAGCATTCTTTCCTGTAGGCTGCCCCTGTAGGGGTGTGGACTGTGTGTTGTGTTCATGGTTTTCATCTCTGTAAAATGCATATAATTTTTCTTTTACCATAGATTACACTTCAATAGAGCATTTATGTAAGGATGTAGGATCATTCATGTGAGTTAAAAGCTGAGGGGGTGGGTACAGAACATGGCTAGCGGTTATGCCTGGTAGTCTGTGTGTTGCCTTGCTGATTAACTCTGGATTCCTCACAGTCCTCTTCATCTTCTGATAGCCAGTTGTCTTATTTGACAAGGGTCTCTTTCAGTTTCAAACCTCATTAAGATCCATGAACTAAATATGTAAGATTATATTAAAGGTAGGATGGCAGCAAACTCCTCCAATGGTAAAAAGTATGATCTAAGTGAGCTGAAATACTGTTGGTAATTTTGTCATTAATTTGGAATTGAATGAAAATAGAAAACAGGGATTCATGTTTGTTGAAACTCAGCTGGGCATGGTGGTATACATTTGTAATCCCATCTACTCTGGAGGCTAAGGGAGCAGGATCAGAAATTTGAGGCCAGACTGGGCAAATTGGCAAGCCTCTGACTTAAAAAATGAAACACCTTAAAAAAAAATGTCAGGGATATAGCTCAGTTTGTAGGCTCTTGATTCAATCCATAGTATACTGTGAATATACAGTAAAACTCAACTGAAGCCCACTATTATTAGCATTTTTTTTTTAAAACTTAGTTCCTGGTCTTCTCTGTTGTACACCTAAGACTTGATATACCCACGATCAGCCTGGTGCATTTTGAAAACTTTCATTAAAGATACATGGATTTCTTGACCTGTTTACCTCATTAAGTATGTCTTGAAGCTGTAGAATTCAGGAAATATAGGAACAATGACAGAATACTAGTTGTAAAGAAATTTTAGAGGTACAGTTTTGCATTAGATACTGGACTGTTACCTTGTATTACCTTTCAGCCCAGTAGATGATATGCCTAGGTTATACTAAAAAGATGGCAGTTTAACTGTTTGTATGTATTTAATCGGGAGAAAGGCAGCCATAACTTGTATTTATTGTAGTAGACTATGGAAATAAAAACAGAGAACAAAGTGATAATAAAGTTTTATATATTCAAATCAGTACTAGATTTTTCATAACATTTTTGTGTTCCACATGTCATAGATTACTCAAAAGGGCAGATGAAATGTATCATTATTCTTTCCAGAAAAATAATGCATACTGCCGATTTTGGATGCAGTCTGAAATGTTTCATAGATATCTCATTAAATCAGTGGAGCCTTGCTTTCTTTTTCAACTGGTATTCTTTAGTCCAAAGTCTTGATAATAAAGACCCTTTGAGCAGGAGCTGGGCATTGTGGCTCATGCCTGTAATCCCAGCACTCTGGAAGGCTAAGGCAGGGAGAGTTGCAAGTGCAAGCCCAGGCTGGGCAATGTGATATGATACCCTCTCAAAAAAAGGTCTGAGGATGTAGCTCATAGAAGGCTCCAAGTTCATTCCCTGGGACTGGGGAAAAAGAACAAAAAAGACAAAAGGAAAGAAGGAGGGAATGAACTCTTGACTGTTGAGTCTAAAACGTTCCTCAAAATAATGTAGACCAGTGTTGGTTTTAAGAACAACTGAATGGATCAAGACCAACATTAGAATGGAAAGAAAAAGAATAAAATAGAAAATACTAGAGGAAGTTTTGTGAATGCTCTTCCCATTTCTGTTTGTGTTAGTACTGGCTTTGAAGAAAAAATGTATTTTTTTTTTACTGTAGATTAGGCATAAAGTTTGAGACATACACATCTATTATAGATGAATCTTTATATTTTTACAGCTGGGGAAACTGAAGCCCGGAAAGGCTAAATGATTTATTCAAATCCCCCTCTTCATTTTAAGTGGCCCAGCCAGAACTGAACCACATCACTTGTTTGCTGATTTTGTAATGCTTTTGTGCTGTTTTAAAGCATTAAATGTCTCATCAGCTTACCCTGCCATTTTTGAATCTTTTATTTTTCCCACTAAAATCATCTCTGTCATTTTCCTTTAAGATAAGCAGGTCTTCAGCTACTTTTCCAGAGAATGGGCAGCTATCTTGGGCCCTCACAAAACTGTACATCTGAATCTTTCAGGTTTGACATTAATCAGAAGAATTTCAGAACAAGATATGAGGGTTTACATTTATGTGGAAAGCAAATTAAATTATTTTGAATTATTTGTTCATTTATTTGAGAGTTGAATGCAAAATGTGGCAGTAGATGATACAAGATCTTTGGGAAGACATTTGTAACAGTCCTTATTTGTCCCTGTGGTTTTTTTCAAACTTGAATGCTGTACAGATTATGAAGAGTCTTGTTAAAATACAAGCTCTAATCCAGAATCTGACCATTTAATTAGCATTTTAAAACTTTTCTTAAAAACTTAATTTTCCAAATAACTGGAGTCTTTAATTCAGAAAGCACTTTATAAAATATTGTATAATTTTTTTTCTTAAATAGTTACATGTGCTTTCCACTTCATCTTAGTGGTGTTAAGAGTTTTCTTTTCTGGAGCCTTTCTTTGTGATGAGTATTGATCTATCTGCAAAATAAATAAAATCCACAAAATCCTTCTCTGTTGTTCTTTTATGGTTTTTCTATTTTATTTCATTTAGTTGTCAATTAATAATGTCTGGTTCAAAGCTGCTGATTTTTCTTTCTGTTCTAATTGATTACTTCTGACCCAAAAAGAAAATACTAGATGTGTTAGAAATATGTAGGAGGGCCACCATGGTGTGGAGGCTTTCCGAGGAGGGGTGTGGTCTTGAAGTTAGTAGCACCCCGGGGGGAGAAATCTTTGGTTTTAATGGTGTTCTGCATAGGTATCAAATAGGAGCCTACTTGTTTGTTCTTAATGGTCTTTTCCATGTGCTCTTTCAACTGGTTTTCTAGATTTCTCCAACTTTGTGCATTAAAAGTGTGTGTGAAAGTGACATGCAAGTGTGTAAATGTATGATGTCTTAGCCCTGTGATTGATCACACAGGATCTGTAGTAAGCAGCAGGTGAGGCCATCCAAAACTGCAGTGGTAACCTTATGCTGAAGATTGTGGTTCTTGCGCACAGTGTGTTTTGTGGTGACTTTGAATCATAATAATGACAGCTCCTTGGTTCACTTTAGGGATTTAGGATCCTAGGGATTTAAATACTGATTTCTGGTGTACTTCCTGTCTTTATTAGATTATTAATTACCATAACAGTCATACTTTCATTTACTGAGCTCCTCACTTTGTCAGGCAGTCATTATTCAGATTAATATTGTATAACAAGCAGGGTTGTGGTTCTGATGAATGCATTAGATTGGGGTGGCAAGTGGCTGCTGCCCTTGGAACAAATGAGAGCAATCCAAATGGTTGGGGTGAGATTAAATCTCTTCATTAGTTTCTCTTTACAAATAAACAAGCATGTGTAGAACCTACAGCAGTTGTTTTTGTTTTTGTTTTTAATTAGAAATTGTTGGAATCACATCTATGAAAACCATATACTAGCTTTTATTTTAATCCAAAGCAGAGAGAACCTGTTTGCATTTTAACTAGGCAACATCAGATATTTATCACTTTAAATAGCCTTATTGATTCTGTTAGAAGTTGTGTATTATATTCTTTAAAATTATAACATAGCCATAACAGTTAAGTTGGATTTTGAGATCGTGAACAGGGCCCCATCTGACATATTTTTAGTGAATTACAGCCTTTAAATGCTGATTACCAGATTTGTCTCATTTGAATGTTATTTTTACATCTAGAATTTGTCTTATGCATCAGTGCAGCTAAGCATACTGGTGTAATCTTATCCTAATCAACAGTGTTTTGTAACTGGAACTCTTGTCAAAGATCATTATAGGAGCTAGAAAACATTGGAAGGTAGACTGAACACATGGCTTTAGCTCTCTTTTGGTAGTAGAATATAACTTGGATTCAAAGAAACTGTGGGAAAAAAAGAAAAACATAGCATCCCTTCTCCTTAAGCTGTAATAGTGTTTGTTTTGCTGTTATTAAGGTCTTTTAGCTTATAGACTGGAGGATATTTTTTGAAATTCTTGAAACTAAATGCTGCAACGGAAAAGATTTTATCAGAAAACAGAGTAGGTAACTGTCTCTATTTGTTAATTAGCTCTGCTTGTTTAGCTGAGGAAGTAAAAATATATGTCTCCTGGAGAGAACCTGTGAGTGTAAACTCCTCCCTTCCTGTTTTCAAATCTATTTCATATGTTGCTTATCTTACTTAAATATACAGTAGGCAGGAGAATGAAAGTGCTGTTCCTTTAATATCAGAACTCTGCACGCTACAATAGGTGTCACTGTTTTGCTTGGTCCAATCATGATTGGTGACTTCAGCTATTGGCTCGGAGCACTGGCTGTCTCACTCCATCTGCAGGGCTGTAATACCTACTCTCCTCCGATCCATTCACCACACAACTTCGGCCGGCTGAACAGACTCCAGCCTCGCTGGGCTCCAGCACATCTTCCTAACCTAATTCAGAAAACAAGTGCTACTGCTCTGTGCCTATCATCTTCGCTCAGTGTAGCGTTTTCAGGTGATCTAGGAAATGCTTATTTTCATGAACAAATAAGAGAAAGAGGAATCATGATGGGGATGTGTTTAACAGACCCAGTACTGGATAAAACTTAAAGCCAGTTTCTGTTCAACATAGTGAAAAGGTCACCTTGCCTGGCTGTGAAAAAAGAAGCAAAATAGCAGCTTGTTGGTTTCTGTTAACATCTCAGCTCCGGCTAACCTCTTTTGCTTGATGTTCGAACCAGTTTGGGATATCTAGCTCTAAAGAGAGACATACTCATGGTAGATGACAAGGAAAAGAACATGAAATGTCTTACCTTCTTCTTGATGCTTCCAGAGACTGTAAAGAATAGGTCCAAGAAAAGCTCGAAGAAAGCAAATACTAGCAGCAGCAGTAGTAGCAGCAGCAATAGCAGCAGCAGCAGCAGCAGCAGCAGCAGCAGCAAGTTGCCCCCAGTTTGTTATGAAATAATTACCTTGAAGACTAAGAAGAAGAAGAAGATGGCTGCTGATATATTTCCCCGCAAAAAACCAGCTAACTCCAGCAGCACCACTGTCCAGCAGTACCACCAGCAGAACCTCAGTAACAACAACCTTATCCCGGCCCCCAATTGGCAAGGTCTCTATCCCACCATCAGAGAAAGGTAAGTACCGGGCCAGGATATTTACTTTGAAAGTTTTCCTGTGTTGAAGTTTCTGCTTTTGCACAACCTGTAATGTATTTTAACACAAATCTTTGCTTCCTCTTTTCCCAGAAGCTTTATTGGTAATGGAAAACTGCCTTCTATCTTTTCCAAAACACTACAGCTGTTTTCCTCTTAGATAAAAATACTTTTGCAAGCTGTAACATTGAATTGACTAGGCTGTGTGTATGACCATAGAAGACAGAAATCTTTTATTTGTCCTTAGCCTTGTGAAGTTTGTATAACTTGTTTTTCACTTGAATTGCTTCCCATGTGTTTGCAATGATTACAAACACAGTTTGGTTAGAACCTTCATTTGTTCTTTTTTTTTTCTTTGAAGTTATTAAACTGTTGCTTAGTTTTGAATCTTTTGTGAGTTCTCTGTTGGGGAGGGGATGTCAAAAACACTGTCACTAATTAATGAATTGCCTCTGTTTATAGAAATGCGGTGATGTTCAATAACGATTTGATGGCAGATGTACATTTTGTGGTTGGCCCACCAGGTGGGACTCAGCGGTTGCCAGGACACAAAGTAAGCAACAGCTGCATTACTGGTTTAGTCCTGAGATTTATAAAGAGGGACCCTCTCAGTGAGCCTGAAACTTAGTGTGGGCAGCTTGCCGTTGGCAAGCATAGTGTGTTTCACCCAGTTACTGAGAAAGCATATCCTCTGCAAAGGGCTTTTGCCACACTGAATTTTTCTTTGTTCCCTTCTACACTATTTTATATCTCCCACAAAAATATGCATATCCTCTTATCTTTCTAGTCCTGGGAAGTTGTTGTGACAGGTTTGGAAAGTCAGATGTTTATCTTTCTCCTAGAAATCAGTTAGATAAGCTTTTGTTTATTTCACAATGAGGAGACCTGTGCATTAATCTCTTAGAGCTTTGAGATAATTAGTGTAGAAGCTTTAATATGTGAATTCTGCTTCCTTGGCAGAATACCCTGTACCTTAGCTTTTTCAGGGAAACAGGTTTAGGTACTCCCTGCCCACTAAACCTGATTGCTTGAGTTGTTTTTCTGGATTGATTTGCAGAAAACACGTTCAATTCAGTGCATGAAATAAGATTTTCCTTTCTCCACAGTATGTCTTAGCTGTTGGGAGCTCTGTCTTCCATGCGATGTTTTATGGAGAACTTGCTGAGGACAAAGATGAAATCCGTATACCAGATGTTGAACCTGCTGCTTTTCTTGCTATGCTGAAGTAAGCATTATTCGTGTGTTTGGAAAGAGTTTGTTTATGCTGTATATTACTCTTCTGGCTTCAGAGTTAAATGTAAGTTCTGCATAACAGCAAAGGAGACTGATGAAGAGAGAGGGTGCTGCTTACCTTGTAAATGTTTTTAGAGAAAACTACTGTTCGCCTTTCAGTGAAAGATGGAATGATGCAAACATTTATAACCACATCCTGACATAGAATTTAGATGCAAGTGGTATCCTTAGCAGTTTGTTTTTAATAAATTGTAATTAAAGAAAAATAGAAATAACTTTCCGATGTTAGTATTACTTAATAGGGAGGGCATCTTCTGTTGAAAGCAGTGTGTGTGAAGAAGTTTTCAAATGAATACTTTGTATTTCACAATTCTTGAAATTATATACCTATTTAAATACCAATTCAGAGATTTCTCAGTTTTCTAATAGTTATGTTGTAGCAGCAGATGCAGAACTTACTCTCTATTGAAATAATCTGAACTTTGTGCACATGTACATGTGCATTGTTTTACATAAAATCAGATATCAGTGGGGTAAGCATTTATATTTGGTATTAGAGGAAAATTTTTTGAACGGTGTAGTTTCCTATAGTTTCATATGGATTTATATGGTAAAACTCCAACTGACATAAAAGTATAAGAGACGCTATATATTTATAAACATGGTGTCATGTCTAGGATTTTTGGCACACTCCAGTATATGTTAACCCAAATAATCATTGCCATGTATCATTGGACAATGTGATAGTCGCCCATGTGATTGAAATCTCATTTTAAATAATGCTTATTGTTTTTCTTAATCTGTATTTGTAGCACACAGAAGTATGAATTCAAGGTTACCTGCAGTTCTAGGGACTTTACGTCATTGGCTTAAATAAAATGTTTATTGAAAAAAATATTAGTTAAGTCAACGAGTTGGACTGCCACAAAAGTTAAAATGCCGCTGTGGAATTTACTGCTTATGGAAAAATAAGTTACAGTTAGTTCCAGAGTTTAAAAGTGTACTTTATTCGTATTATAATTTTGAGATTGGATTGCTGCTGACTGGCACTTGCACAGTGGGAGGCAGGGAAATTAAAGGGAAGTGAACGTAGGAAGTATCAAAATGTAATCTACCACTCGTACCCTTTGTTATGTTTAGAGATATGTGTATAGAAACCAATTTTACCTGCCAGCATCCCTGCCTGCGCCAAGAGATGTTAGCTTGGTATATTTGACAGTGTTTTCTGTTACTGAGCGGAATGCAGTACCAGTTCAGCATTTTGGCCTCACTGCACTTAAGTATAGTTATTCTGGACATGTGCATAATTAGAAAACAGCAAGAACAGCAGAGATACATCTTAACTTGATCCATTTGATCGAACATTTATTAAGTATCCTTTCACAGATATATTACCTAGAGCATGTATTTATATTAATAAAGCTTTTTACAACTGTACATATCTGTGTAAAGCATTGGGAATTAGAAATGCAGTAAGGGGCGGGCTATTTGTTGCCATGCCAGTATAGTGATGGCCAGGTTTATTCTGCTCCTGCATTGTGGGTAAGTGGACAGTGTTCCTGGAAAAGAAGTTGGGAGAAAGGGGATGGCTGCTCCCTTGACAGGACCACAAGTACTGACCATGTTCCTGGAGCGTGGCCTCTCTCCTTCCAGCTTCACCAGAACAGAATCCTAACTAAGCTGCAGCTGTACTGTCAAATGACCTTGCTTAGACTGTCACAGAAGAGGAGGTCACTCAGGAGCAGAAGGGGAAGGCAGGTCCCTTGCAGTTTGTGGATGTTTTTCTCTTCTCATCCTTGTATTTTTGTACTTTATTGAACAAGTTGTTGCTAATTTCATAAGTTATATGGGTTTTACTAAGAGGAAGTACAGTAGGAATATATGTGCTTTAGCTAGAAAATTTAAAAGTTAAATATTGTCAGTATTTTTCATTCATGGTTGCACGGAGTATTTCTTAGGCCAGCCACAGCAGTGTTAAGAGAAGCAGTCTATTTCTGCCTTACATACCATTTTTGGGAAGTCACCATCATCCCCCAGAGTGTCAAGCAGTGTTTCATCTCCCCAGCTAGGCAAGTTGTACAGAAGCACAGAAACTAATCATTGAAGACTTCTTGGTTTATCTTTTAATTACTATATCTGGTAATAATGTATTCTTTAATTTTAAAGGTTGAATAAATATGTGAGGAGAACGAGCTTAGAAGTTCAGAGTTTGAAAAATGGATACAAAGTATGGATTCTATATAAAGTTAATTGGAAGATAGCATTGATAATCATATTTGATCATTTATTGACCTTAGAACTACTTGAAAAATATTTTATATCATTTTACCTTTTATTTAGGAAAAATCCAAAATCATCAAGATGCAATGATTGTTGACATATTAAAGGCATTTGTTTTTATCTGAATACAGGAAAAAATGCTATAAAATCATAAATATGTGTATTGTCCTTAAAACATAGGCATAGGATTCTTCTCTATAATGCATTACACGTGATGGTATTTTGATGTTTTTTCTGTAATACAGCTCATGTGTGCTGGCCAGACCATTTTCACATAGTTGCATTATATTCTGTCTTTGTTGAGAAGACACTGGCATCTTGAATGACAGAGGCTAGCATTGTATATTACCTAGTTAATGCTGTTCATTGTACAAACTTACTACTGAGTTGAAATGTTTTAATTTATGAATGTATTTTGGATATTTCTTTAAACATTTTGTAGTAACACTCACTTAAAATGATGTTCTTCAAAGTAGTTTCTTTGCCTACTGCTCATTTTCTGAAAGCTCTATTTACATGTTGTATGCTTTGTTTCAGGTATATCTATTGTGATGAAATTGACTTGGCTGCAGACACAGTGCTGGCCACACTGTATGCTGCCAAAAAGTACATTGTCCCTCACCTTGCCCGAGCCTGTGTGAATTTCCTGGAGACCAGCCTGAGTGCCAAGAACGCCTGTGTGCTGCTCTCCCAGAGCTGCCTGTTTGAAGAGCCAGACCTGACCCAGCGTTGCTGGGAGGTGATCGACGCCCAGGCCGAGTTAGCTCTCAAGTCTGAGGGGTTCTGTGATATTGACTTCCAGACGCTAGAAAGTATCCTTCGCAGGGAAACTCTGAATGCCAAAGAAATTGTCGTTTTTGAGGCAGCTCTCAACTGGGCTGAAGTAGAATGCCAGCGACAAGATCTAGCTTCAAGCATTGAAAATAAACGCAAAGTCTTAGGAAAGGCACTTTACTTGATCCGCATACCCACAATGGCCCTTGATGACTTTGCAAATGGTGCTGCCCAGTCCGGAGTATTAACTCTCAACGAGACCAATGACATCTTCCTCTGGTACACTGCCGCCAAAAAGCCTGAGTTGCAGTTTGTAAGTAAAGCTCGGAAGGGTCTCGTCCCCCAGCGCTGTCACCGTTTCCAGTCTTGTGCCTATCGAAGCAACCAGTGGCGCTATCGGGGCCGCTGTGACAGCATCCAATTTGCAGTTGACAAGAGAGTGTTCATCGCTGGCTTTGGGCTGTATGGCTCCAGCTGTGGCTCTGCAGAATACAGCGCCAAGATCGAACTCAAGCGGCAGGGTGTTGTCTTGGGGCAGAACTTGAGCAAGTATTTCTCAGATGGGTCCAGCAATACCTTCCCGGTGTGGTTTGAGTACCCAGTGCAGATTGAGCCAGACACCTTTTACACAGCCAGTGTGATTCTGGATGGCAATGAACTCAGCTACTTTGGACAAGAAGGCATGACGGAAGTTCAGTGTGGCAAAGTGACTGTCCAGTTTCAGTGCTCCTCAGATAGCACAAATGGCACTGGTGTACAGGGAGGGCAGATCCCTGAACTTATATTCTATGCTTGAAACTTTGCCTCCCCAAAGCAGTGCAACCCACGGGTGCATATCTGGTCCCTCCTTGCTTAATGCTTAGCTCATCTGCAGATAAGCGATCAGTGCAGGTAATTTGTAATGAATGAAGCGATAGGCAGTTTCTAATTTCTTTTAATCATTAAATTATGTACAGGCTAAAATGCAGCATTCTGCTTTCAACTGTATATACTTAAGAGCCAAGCTTTGTGGTTTTTAGAGTTACATCTGTACACCTAAGGGGAACATAGTACTCTTCCATGTGCCCCACCAACCTCCCAGTTTTGTCTCTCTGAAGAAAGTTTGGGATCACCTCAAATTTCCTTCTGGATTTTATTTGATGAATGGAAGTAGTCCAAAATAATAACACCAAGAATTGTTGTAAACATAGCCTTTGCCCCTTTAAAAAAAAAAAAAATAAACCTCTGTGTACAATTTTGGAAGAAGCTCTGGTTTGTAAGAAGTAATGACTTAGAAAGTAGCCAGTAGTCATATTTAGCTCTTACTTTATTCTTTTTAAATGTGTTGATTCTGGGCTTTACTTTTTAAATCCTAAATTCATAAGATTATTACATATTAAATCAGTGTCAGTATAAACTAGGAAAGTAAGGAAATTGGGTGTTTAGGTCATGGCTTTAACTATGAAGCAGATTTATATTTTTTTGTTTACAAAACAAATATCACCATACAGAATACTTCTTTTAAAAGTAACACAATTACAAAATTTTAATGTCAGTAGAAAAAAAATTAGGCTTGCTAATTTACATCAAAGTAGTTTTAAAAGGAAACCTAAGGAAGTCCTGTATCACAAATAGTGTAATTAATGACACACTAGAGTACACAGTTTGAAGAAGTCAAACACTTTTCTTACCATTAGCTTTGGACCCTAGTTATTTGCTTGTTTTTATAAATCCCATTGTGTAGAATTCCTTTTCTCTTTTTGCCCATTAAAAGAGGACCAAACAATTTCTTTAGAGGAAGGGAGTAACAGTTTTGTAGGACTACGTGTCAATGTGATAAAGTTTTATTCATTGTTTGTTTTTAATCTGAAATATACTTTACCTGATCTTTGGCCATAGTCTATCTTATTTGTTGATTATAGTTCTGTCTTGTTGGACTGCTAGAATCTGGCCTCTGGCCACCTTAAAGTGCCAATATATGTCTGCAGGGTTTTTGAGCAACACACTTGATCATGCCTAATATTCACTGCATCAGCATTACTCCTGCTCTTTCATTTGCCCATGGATGATGTCAGCAAAGGAGGGAAGTGCTCGTTAGAAATTCTCCTTCAGTTGTGGCTTGTGTTGGTTTAGTGCCTGTGACCCTGCAGTGTCCAGTGTGTCACTGCCAGGTGAAGTATCCATGTGTTTCTGGGCAGCTTCTCTGCTCAGTGTGGTCCTGAGATGGCTTTCCTCACCACCTAGAGTGTGGTCCCTGGCCACCTCCTTCTCCTGCTCTGCAAGTCCAAAACTGGCTTGTCTGGAGCCAGGGGTTAGTCCTGGTGTGTGTGTGTGTGTGTGCCTGCGCACCTGTGTGCATGCTTTTGCCGACTCAGGAATTGCCTCCTCCCTGTCTGGCTAGCGAGAGGCGGGACAGGAATAGTTCCCCTGCTGGCCTCAGCAAGGCCCAAGGAGTGACTGCCCTTCCTTACTGTGCTTCTGGGCTGCTTACTCTCCTGGAGGCACGGGCTTGTTGCCTTTGGCCAGCTGCCCTGATGGAGGAGAACACTGGATTACGGGAAATATTTCATTCACATTTGCCATTACCTACATCTGTGAAGAGTTATTTCTTACTAGGGAAATTACAGGTAGTTTTGGCAAAGCATAGATGAAATAGAGGCACATTTTCAATTAAAAATGCTTCTACAAAGATTTTGTTTTTAAATTACGGTTAAACATTTCAGTAACTCATGCAAATTGGTGAGCCTGCTGAGATGGCACTGTTTTAAGGCAGAGGAGAAGAAACGTGAGCACTGATTTCATGCTATCCCATGGTTGAGGTCAGTGTGAAAGCCTTAGAGTGGTATCATTTGTTCACTGCTCACTTTAGAGCTCTCGTTACTGACTGAGCTGCCCTCCTTGAGCCTGGTGGCCTGCTGGGTGAATCCACACGAGATATATACACTGTGTGTTCTGCTTAATTTTATACCAATTACTCCTACGTCCACTGCCAAATTGGCCTTTGCCAAGAGCTGTGGGTAAACTTTGAAAACTGTATTAGAGTAAGAAACTTTATATTTTGAACCCTATTCTTTCTGTATTTTCAGCAAAATGGAATGAAAGCTAATGTGCTTGCTTTGGTTTTTTTTTTTTTTTTTTTTGGTCATTTTAAATTTTGTAGCTTTTTTAAAAGTAGGAACTATTATTCTGACAAGGCAAGCAACTCTAGTATATAAATACAACTTTATTCAACACTATGCTGTAGATGCTTTTCCCAATGTATCTGGCAGTCTTTGTTGTTCATACTGGGGAAAAAGGGTAACTAGGCTAGCAGTTCTAATGTAACATTCTTTAAGCATATCTTAAAATAGTATTTAAGTAAATGGTCTAATTTTTCCATGATTATTGCCCTGGACTGTCTTCTTGTCTTATTTTTTTTTAAGGTGTTTAAGTCAACTCAGCTAATTCAAGACACTGTAGGCACTTGTGCATCAGAGTGCTTGACTTTAGCAGCTTACAGCATTATTTATGAAGGAAAATATATAAATATGAAGTACCTCATGTTGAATGTTATTGTACTGTATTTTTAATGTAACAGTGCAGATCTTGTTAGACACATGAATGTGTATAATCATGTTAAATGCAAATAAAATAAAATTAATTCATAGATTTGTTTCTTACCATTTTTGTCACTCCCTTGAAATTACAAAATATTAATTCTGACACTCTTTGTACCGGTGTATTTTATAGAGATAGTTTTTCAGGAGCATTTATTTGCATTTAGTATCTTTGACTCCTAAAGTAGTAAAAATTTGAGGCAAAAGTCTAAGAGAAGGTGGACATGTTAATCAGTGTATTGTTCAAAGCCTGACTATTATGGTGAAGGAGTGAATGGATGCATTTATATTCCCCTTAGGGAGTCATGGCTGGCTGGACTGTTCCTGCTATGAACTCATTCTGATGCTTTACTTGCTCTAAGATCTGGATTTTTCTGGTGCTTCCTGCAGTGTTACAATAGCTTAGGTCTAGGAATAGAAGATAAAGTGCCATAGGAGAACTTTTAATATACTTATATACTCAAATCCTGTTTACCATATCAAATACCTCTATGTACATGACATAAAACCCTGTACATATGTTTAACCATTTCACCTGCTCAGAATTCACTTTCTGCAGCATACCTACTCAAGAGATTTTTGGAGTTACTCCAGAGAAAAAAGGAACTGGAGCTCCACATTATCATCAGCTTAACCACTGTTACAGCGGAATTGCGAAGATTTTAATCTCAGAATGTCTTCTGCCATTATCTCTTCTCTGTTGCTATTTAAACTTGACCACATGTGTTTGTTTTTAATATCCCAAGACAATTGGGAATGCTGTCCTCCATTGCTGGGACTCAGGATGACTCTCACTGAATTACTCTTTTCTTCCCAGTTGACTGCCTTGCCTGGGAAGCCATAGATTTAAACTTGGGAGAAAACAGGAAGGTGGAAGGAATTTCTGGTGCTGAAACAAGCAGGTACTCTGGAAAATTATGTTGTTAGAACAAGGTTGCAAGTGGGGTGGCGGGCTTCAGTGGAACATGGGTGCACTGTTTGGATTGCTAATTAAGACATTTCAATATTTTATTTATTCATCAAACTTTCTGCACTCTGTACTTTCTTTACACTCTAATTTTCAGAATATACATACTACCAAACTAATACTGGAGAAATTTTCCAAAAAATGAGTTTACTGATTTATTTCACTAGCCAATGTGGTGAAAGTGTTCTTAACCAAGAAACTTGCGGGTAGGTAAGATGAAGGTATTTCTGAAGGAGCCAAAGGCACCATCAACCATGTTGCATGCTAAGCAGGAGCTACAGACTGTTCCCTAAAGAATGTTAGGGTACATTTTTTGCAGTGTGGCCATCTCTCCTCTGCTACCTCTTGTAAGCCTTTTTAGGGTGGAGGGTAGTGTGGAGGGTCTAGTTTCTATTTATGCAGACTCTTGCTTATATTCATTTTGCATTTAAATGTTCAGAGCACAACAGTTTTACTAATATAACCCACTGATCCCCAGGACTGAGAATTTAACACAGGTCCTTCCCATTGAGCTATATCCCCAGCCCCCTTAATATTTTATTTTGAAGTAGGGTCTTGCTGAATCTAGAATTTCCCAGGCTATGCTTGAATTTTCAAACCTCTTGCCTTTGTCTCCGAGAGTGCTGGGATTACAGGCTGGCATGTACCACCATGCCTGGGAGTAGATGTTATGTTACATTCTGCCATTTCAGAAGGCCCCAGCCTCAAAAGATGGTTAAAACAACTCACCCATTATTAAAATAAACACCTGCTACAATCTGGCATTTATGCAAATTCTGGGTATAATAAGATGTAATTACAGTTATCTGTTACACTGCTAATGCTTCAATATTAGTTTACTCTTTAGTTAAACTTATTTCCCTTTGAGCTCTTATTAGTGACCAGAGTGTATATGTGTTAAAAGTTACTGTAAAGATGATATCCTTTTTTATGTTACAATAGTACAGAAAGTAATTTCAGGAGTAAGACATACTTTGTAGTTTTACTCCTTTGGTGGACAACTTTAATAGATTATCTCTGTAATTTCATCAAATGTGGAGGATTGAAATAATGCCTGCCTTGCACCCCAGTCATACTAGTGTCCTTTTTAATTTTAACAGAAAGGGCTGCAATAAATCTGAATGGTATATTGCATGGAGGCTCTTTTGTGAGAAACTAGAAACATCTCACATAATATTGTGATACGTGACAGTTTTTACAGGGGTTTATAATTTTTATTTCCCTCCTTGAACAACTATTTTTAAAAAATACTCATGAGAAAGATAGTAACTCTTTAAGGGAGCTCTTAATAATCTTCCAGATCTTGAAGCAGGGGTTACCACCTCTGCTATGCTGTGGAATGTACTTTTGAGACATTTATGCATCTTACCAAATTCTCGTTTTTGCACTTGTCTTAAACAGTTTTAAACATTAAATAATTTCAGTATCCTTCGTTGTAATGATGAAACGGCACTGAGCCTTAACCAGCTCAAAATTAAAAGTTGTCATGCTCGTAGATCTTCACTATTAAAGAAAAATCCAATTTTAACAATATTTGTAGGCATTAATGGACTAAAGAATATTTATTGTGTCTGCTGCATAATTTAGCTCCCCAAAGAGACAAGGTTTAATGGATAATTCGAAGGATTACCCCACATTCATTCATTCATTGATCTTTTATTGATCCTTTGCTTCA